TTTTTTTGTATGGACAGGGTTTTACTATGTTGCCCAGCTGGTCTCGAACTCCTGGGTTCAAATGATCTGCCTGACTCAGCCTCCCAAAATGCTGGGATTACAGGCATCGGCCACTGCACCTGGCCTATGAAGATACATTTTATCTACTCAATAATCAAAAAAGATGATTTTAAAAGACATAAAATATGTAATAGATCAATGTGCAGGTCTCCATGAATGTGAAAACAGAAAGCACAGCTCCTTCTTGTAGAATATATTAAACAGAAAACACACAAAAAGTTAAGCAATCATGAATAATGTTTCCAAAAATTGATAGGAGAGGTATCTCAAGGCAGCGTGTGATTAACTATCACATAAATGAAAGAACCAATAACAGATTTATGCAGAGAAGAGTGAGATCACAACAGGTTGGATTATTCCATCAGGTTTTTTCTTAATATTTTTCATAAATGTAAATGTAATGAAAAATCTGACCAGAGATTAATAACGCACATTTTTAGGAAGAAGACAGAACATATTCCCTTTCAGTTTCTAGACTAAAGCTGTAGAGGCTGAGGCTGGCCCTACCATGATTGTGGCTGTAGCGGTGGCATATTCTCCGCCTCCCCAACACTCTCCAATATTGGGACATCGAGCTTCCTCACATACCTGTGTACAAAAGGAAATGGAACACCATTAGGTTGACAATATCCACCAACTAAACAACTGGTGACTGTGATTAGACATTTTAAACTGCTTATTGTTTACAACATATTTTTGAAGACATCCACTATTCAAAAATGCTGTTAAGACCAAGTGCGCTGGCTCACGCCTGTAATTCCAGCACTTTGGGAGGCTGAGGCGGGAGGATTGCTTGAGCCCAGGAATCTGATACCAGTCTGGGCAACATAGTGAAACCCCACCTCTACAAAAAATCGAAAAGTTGGCTAGGCATGGTAATGTGCATCTATACTCCCAGCTACGCAGAAGGCCAAGGAGGGAGGATCACTTGAGCCTGGGAGGTCAAGGCAATGGTGCCACAGCGCTCTAGCCTGGACAACAGAGCAATGCCCTGTCTTAAAAAAAAAAAAAAAAAAAAAAAAGAGGCTGTTAAACTGCCAAACCCTATATTAAAATTAGAGTGTGGTGAGCATGTCCTATAGAGGTGTACTCCCTTAGACAATTATATAAGAATGGACAGAGTTGAATTCTTATTTTTTTAAAGATGGAGTCTCACTCTGTCATCCAGGCTGGAGTGCAGTGATGCCATTTTGGCTCACTGCAATCTCCACCTCCCGGGCTCAAGTGATTCTCCTGCCTCAGCCTTCCGAGTAGCTGGGACTACAGGCTCACGCCACCAAGTCCAGCAAATTTTTTATTTTTTTATTTTTAGTAGAGACGAGGTTTCACCATGTTGGCCAGGCTGGTCTTAACTCCTGACCTCAGGTGATCCTCCTGCCTCGGCCTTCTGAGTGCTGGAATTATTGGTGTGAGCCACCACACCCGGCCAAACTCATTTTTAAATTAAAAACTTCATGAATGTATATACTTCATATGTGCAAATAAAAAAGTCTGAAAGAATATATACTGAACAGTTAAAGGTAAAAGAGCGTGCTTTATATATGGCATTGTGTATGTGACATAGCTTCACATTTAATTTTATATTCTTTCCAATGAAACATGTATCTAATTTGCAATATAAAACAAACAAAGCTTTGTTTCCAAACTTGTAGGGCAAAAAATCTTTTTGTTTGCAGGAAAAATGATTCTAAATATATTTCCATTCCTGGTAGTAATGTATCACTTAACATATTTACTTTCTTTGCTATTATTTATATATTTGTTAATAATTTTTAAGCTATATAAATGTAGAAACATGGCTTTTGGTTAAGAGGGATAGTTTACACTTTGACAACTTACTGTATGGAGGTTTAAATTCCGCAAAGTGTTTTTCAGTTTATTGTAATTTTTCCCCATGGGAATCTCTGTCTTTAGCCATGGAGGTAGTCTTAACCTAAGGAAAGTCAAACATAACGATTAACAAATATGCTGCCAAATAATTACACAGCTTTGAAGTTAATTTCTTCTATTACAATTCCTAGTTAATACTTTTTCTATAATCTTAGAATAACTCTTATAATTTCTGTCATAAGAGTAAGAACACAGAATCAAATTCAGCCTTGCTCAAACCACTTTAGAAAACACCAATAATGGGGCCAGGCACCGTGGCTCACGCCTGTAATCCCAGCACTTTGGGAGGCCGAGGCAGGCGGATCACCTGAGGTCCGGAGTTCGAGACCAGCCTGAACAATATGGAGAAACCCCGTCTCTACTAAAAATATAAAATTAGCTGGGCGTGGTGGTGCATGCCTGTAATCCCAGCTACTCTGGAGGCTGAGGCAGGAGAATGGCTTGAACTCTGGAGGCGGAGGTTGCTGTGAGCCGAGATCGCGCCATTTGCACTCCAGCCTGGGCAACAAGAGTGAACTCCATCTCAAAAAAAAAACAAAAAACAAACAAAACAAAACAAAACAAAAAAAACACCAATAAAGGAGTATAACAGGGCACTATGCTCATGTCTACCTTTTTTGCAGAGCCAGAGTTACACTATTCTAATAAGAGAATGAGTTTTTGAATATCTCATCCCTCATGAATGATACTGCCAAAAAGTACTCTATTTGTTTAGAGTGAGGTTAAGATCACAACAGTGCACTGTCTGCTCTATATTCTAGATTTTATAGTGGTTACTCAACGTAAAAAAGATCTAAAATTTGGAGTGGAGACTGTGAATCCTTGGTTCTCCATGACTTCCATCCACTTGTGATATAAAAGGAGCTGGATTAAGTTCTCTCTCAACACAATCTACCTTCTACATAAAATTCCATAACTCTTTTAAATTAAGGTAAGGTATCCATAGGTCAAATGTAAATTGACTAGGAGAAGCACACGTTAGATCATCAACACCTAGTAACCCAGATCTAAGAGACTAGTAGTAAGGCAATAATCTCTACTCTGAAGAAGTTGGATGTTGGGTAGGAAATGGGGAGATGGCAGTGTAACATAGTAAGGGCACAGAGAAAAAAGAAAGAGTCCAACAATTTCATCTGCTTACCTGTTCTATCTAGTTGTCCATCACATCTTTCTAATGACTTTTAGCTAAATTAGTCTGATATAAAAAACAGATTCTAGGGGTTGGTTATATCTGAAAATAATGCACAACAAAGGAATGGGACGTTAAAATTATCTCAAATTTTCAATTACCTTTCTCCTTTCTGGCGTTTTAGGTTTCCTTTATATTCATCCCAGGTGCTCCTGTCTGCAAGATCACCAGATACAAAATCTTGAAGGTCTGGTCCATTCTGTAAGAGTTCCTTTTTTTCATCTGGCAAGGAACTTAATGGTCTGACTGGGCTGCATAAATATCTCCCAAATACCTAAAGAAAGAGTTCATTATGACATTTATTTAGTGGAGTCCGGAATAATTTAGTTTTAACCCATGATAACACCTAAAAGTAAGCCTTTTGGTAAAGCTAAAAAAGTGTTTCAGAAATTATGTCAAACTAGGAGCTCTAGTATTCTAGGGCATTAGAATGTAATATAAAAGATGACTGAAGGAACCAAACCTAAAAGAGAATAAGAGTTGACTGTTTAGTACTGAGTTTAGAATTGATTTGGAAATCTCTGGAACTATCTAACATACATCACACTTTCACGTACTCCACCTACCAGTAACTACATGTTTGTCTTTCAACAAGATTGAACTGCAATAACTGAAGAAGGTGCCATAGTTTAAAATTGTTCTGGTCCTGACTTGAATCAGGGGCGTTTAAAGTGAAGTGTGCAATAAATCTCTCGAGTTTTGAATAAGCATAATTGTTGAAAAGCAGGTTAATAATGCCCAGTTGGTTTCAGATAACTGGAAGGGGGAAAACTAAGCCTAACGTTTTTACCTTTTTTTTTTTTTTTTTTTTTTTTTTGAGACGGAGTCTCGCTCTGTCGCCCAGGCTGGAGTGCAGTGGCGCGATCTCGGCTCACTGCAACCTCCGCCTCCCGGGTTCAAGCGATTCTCCTGCCTCAGCCTCCTGAGTAGCTGGGATTACAGGCGCGCGCCACCACGCTCAGCTAATTTTTGTATTTTCAGTAGAGATGGGGTTTCACCGCATTGGCCAGGATGAACGATTTTATTTTCTAGGTTACATTTTTTCTGTGTTTGAACATGGCAGTCAGTAACATAAGAAATCACGGTATTCGGCTTTTACATCTGAACACAAACATGCATGAGACAGCCAGAACACTACAAAATCCGCGAGTCTGCACATGTAACGCAAAAGAACCTTCGACAACTCAAGAGTGCCTGTTAGGGTGTTGCACGATTGCTACTGCACTTCTCAGTGTGTGCAGCTAAAGCCTAGAGGACAGGTTTGTGTTCTCTGTGGCTAGAGTGGTGTCTTACACACAGTAAGAGTCCAACACAGAATAGCTATGTAGGGTGCTCACTGCAGTGCTCCATAAATATACGGTACAAACCACTCTAAACAGAAAATAAGTCCTTAGTGCCGGCCCAGAGAGACTTTCAAACAAACTGATGCCAGAGACTCTATATCAATATCTTGCGGTTGGTGGAAGAATTACGTGAGATTACACGAAAAATGTTTAAAACTGCCGTTGGCTAGAAGTAAATGCACTGACCTTTATTATTGGGCGTGGGCGCTCTGAAGGGAGAGGATCCCCCCACCCCACGCCCAAACCCGCTCGCCCCGCCGCTCACCCGGGGCCCCAGGGTGCGGGCTGCATCCCCGCAGCGTAGAGACATTTCCTCTTTAGAGCTAGCGCAGTGCAGGGATTGAGAGACCGCTAACTCCTGGGAAAGGACAGGTAGATAACACGTCGCTCCGTTTACGACAAACAGCCGAGCTGCTCCATGATTGGCTGCTTTAGCCTTACGGGGCGTCGCGCACTTATGACGCAATACGCAGCCCCCCCCCCTTACGGGATACAAGTACGTAATGACGAAATACGTTCTTTCTTTGCTGCGTCTACTGCAAGGTAAGGATGTTTCTGTGCTCGCGGGGCATTAGGAATCTGAAGCCATCTGCTCTGGGAAAGGCTGTGGCGCGGCTCCCACTCTCGGAACCTTGTCCTGTTTGTCCCCCAGCTCGGCAAGCGCCATATGAGCCTGGCGGCGCCGGATGCGAATCCTGTTTTGGGCTTTTTGGCCTATTCCCGCCCCTCAGCCTTGCCGGGATGGCGCCGCCTGGATAGAACTTCCAGGGTTGGGCTGAGCGGGAGTTCGCCTGCTGGGCTTCGTAACTCTCGCTTTGGGGCTGCTCCTTCCGGGCTGGGACGCACTGGGGCCCGCTGTCGGTGTCCCGTCCTCCAATATCGTCTCCGGAACTTCCACCTGGCAGTCTCCGGTAGGAGTGGAGCTCTGTGCGGCAGAGTGGAGCTCTGTGCCGCGTAGTTTGGTGGAAAAAACGGGCCTTGGGTCGGCCTCACCCCCAGTGTTTGTGTTTCAGAATGAAGACCATTCTCAGCAATCAGACTGTCGACATTCCAGAAAATGGTATGAGACTTGACATCTTTTTCATACATTTTTACTACACGTTCCAAGCGCTGTGTGGCCTGACGAGTGTGTTCTGTCTTCTAGTCGACATTACCCTGAAGGGACGCACAGTTATCGTGAAGGGCCCCAGAGGAACCCTGCGGAGGGACTTCAATCACATCAATGTGGAACTCAGTCTTCTTGGAAAGAAAAAAAAGAGGGTGAGGGTTTTTTTTCTGGTAATTCACTTGCTCGTTGGACGGTGGTTTATAACAGCATCACATTTGGTTACTTTAACAATTTTCGAATTGAGGTTCAGTGTTTTAGCTTTAAATGTTGCTGTCCAGAATACCAGCCAGTTTTCCGTTAGTGAAATTGAAAAACCAGATTCTTAACACAGCGAATTATATAAAGCTCAAATGTTGTAGTGGTCGTCAGTGACACGTCTTAATAGTGTTAGAAGTTTGGTTTATTTTCCTAGTGGTTGCTTTGTAAAAATCCTAGGAACCGGCAGTAGGTCTGTAACACCTGATGATTTAATTTTCCAGAAGGGAAGTTTGTTGCAACTTGTACAAAGCTTAACTTTTTGGGAGGTTTTATAGGTGGTTGGATTTTTCCAGTTGAAAATCATGTGCTTTGATTAGGGTTAGTTCTGGAATCTTAAAGTAATTGGGTAAGTGGTCTGTTACCTTTTAAGCCTGCATATTTCTGGAAAGAATACGTTTTTCTATTACAGCTTCGGGTTGACAAATGGTGGGGTAACAGAAAGGAACTGGCTACCGTTCGGACTATTTGTAGTCATGTACAGAACATGATCAAGGGTGTTACACTGGTAAGCAGATGAATCAGACTTCTTTGTTTTGGAAAGGGAGGTTTCTCAAACCTTTGCTTTATACAGCATAAATGTCTCTTTCAGAGAATGGGTTACACATTTTATTTGGTGTAATACACACGAACTTGGCAAAAATAGGCGTCTCTGGGTCTTCAAGCGATAGAGCTGAGAGTAAAGACCAGATTGGTACAACATGTTTGTTTTTTCTTTTTGGGGGTGGGGGGTTGTTTTTTTTTTTGAATCAAGACTGGGGTCTCCCTGTTTTGTCCAGGCTGAGCTTAAGGGATCCTCCCACATTGGCCTCCCATAGTACTGGGATTGCCGCATGAGCCACCATGCATGGCTAGATGGGTGCAGTTTTTAAAAAGTAGGCTAATGGTGAATTTTCACATCTTCCGAATTTTCTTTTTTTAAAATAGGAAATCTACAGTTGCAGTATTAGGTGGCAATGAAATCTCACCATCAGGACCCCTTGTTGGGATAGAAAATGATGTAGTTTCTGAGTTTTCTGTCTGTTGGTCCCTATTCTTTCCAACCCACCTTCTCTCCCCTCAGGATAAAAAGTTCATGCTGAAATGGTTTTCAATTCTTGGCCGTGTGCTGTACCTTAGTACTACTCAGTAAATGTTACTCAGTAAATGTTACTCAGTAAATGTTAGTCTAATGTCAGACATGAGGGCTTTGGGGTTCTCATTAAAAGAGGGCAGCATTGTTCATTGAGGGCATGAGAGATAGTGAAATAAATGCCTCTGTAAGGAGCTTTACAGTCCACTGAATAGACAGAACAATGTTTATAAGGTTTGGTTCAGGTGACAGTTCTTATAAAATTTTAAAACTATTAAAAATACTCTTCAGCATTGGTAATAGCTTGCTTATTTAATATAGGGCTTCCGTTACAAGATGAGGTCTGTGTATGCTCACTTCCCCATCAACGTCGTTATCCAGGAGAATGGGTCTCTTGTGGAAATCCGAAATTTCTTGGGTGAAAAATACATCCGCAGGGTTCGGATGAGACCAGGTATGTGCATACCCTCAGATAGAATTAAGAAATTTTTCCTTCATATTTTTTTTTTCTCCTTTTCCACTCCCAACCTCTTTCATACTTCAGTTGGCTGGTGTTTTGTGTTTGTGCTGAATAAAACCAGATTTGTTTTAGAATTCTCTTGATTACACTTGTAACTGTTGGTGCTACTTGAGGGTTTATATCATATTGATTACAATTTCAGAAAGTTGATACATTGGAGTAGTTTGTAGTGGTGGTTGTATTTAACTTGGCAAATGAAATACTTTTAAGACTTGTAATTTACAAAAGGTGTGTATTTATGGGGCACAATGTGATGTTTCAATACATGTATATTCTGTGGAATGACAAAATCAAGCTAATTAACACATCCATCACTCCGTTTCTTTGTGGTAAGAACCTTTAAAATCTAAAGAGAAAACTACATGAGTAGTGGTTAATAGCCTAGCTTAAATTTCAGCTCTCACTGTCCACCTTGGGCGTATCATCTCTCCGTAGCTTAAAATTGCAAACATCTTTGATTAAATGACTTAAAGTTGAAAAATAACAGTGCATGCGTAATACATAGTAAATACTGTAGGTTTAAAAAAAATTTTAAAGATTGGTGCTTTTTATCTGAGGCAGCGTCTTGTTCTGTTGCCCAGGCTGGAGTACAGTGGTGTGATCTCAGCTCATTGCAGCCTCCACTTTCGTGCTCAGGTGTTTCTCCCACCTCAGCCACCCCACTAACTGGCACTACAGGTGTCTGCCACCACACCCAGCTAATTTTTTATTTTTTGTAGAGACGGTTTTGCCACATTGCCCAGGCTGATTTCATGATTTCAAGGAATGCTATTGTGCCTGACGCCAGCTAATTTTTAAAAATTTTTTGTAGAGGGAGGGTCTTGTTATGTTGTCCAGGCTGGTCTAAAGTAAGACTTGGCAAATTGAATACCTTTATTAAATCATCGAAGGAGTAACCACCGTAGGACTGTGATTCATTCAAGTAGGAACACAAATAAGATTTTGGCACAGGTAAGGCAGGTGCTGTAAAACCAAAATGGTTTTTTTGTTTGTTTTTTGAGACAGAGTCTCGCTCTGCCACCCAGGCTGGCATGTAGTGGCACGATTTCGGCTCGATGCAACCTCTGCCTCCTAGCTTCAAGTGGTTCTCTTGCCTCAGCCTCCTAAGTAACTAGGATTATAGGCACGTGCCACCACACCCAGCTACTTTTTTGTATTTTTAGTAGAGATGAGGTTTCACTGTGTTAGCCAGGATGGTCTTGATCTCCTGACCTCATGATCCGCCCTCCTCGGCCTCCCAAAGTGCTGGGATTACAGGCGTGAGCCACTGTGCCTGGCCCCAAAATCTTAAGACAAGGTTCTTTTGGTGCATGGAGTTTTACATGGAATAAATTAGTGCCTCTGCAATTTAAATATTTTTTACACAGATCTAGTTTGGTGTTGATGCTGTGCACGTGCCCTCTCCCCTTTTAGGTGTTGCTTGTTCAGTATCTCAAGCCCAGAAAGATGAATTAATCCTTGAAGGAAATGACATTGAACTTGTTTCAAATTCAGGTTTGTATGTTTACTATTTCTAATTACGCCTACAAGATTTTATCTAAATCTTGTTGTTTAAAATACAGTGTTTTGCTAATTTTTATTTGGTTAGCTTTTTAAATTGTGAAGTTAAAAAGGTAACATTCTGAAATTTTAAGTAGAGCATATAATGAAACATATTCTTTTTAAGATGGGTTAGGCTGATGTATTAATTGCTGTATCTTCTCTCCTGTAGCGGCTTTGATTCAGCAAGCCACAACAGTTAAAAACAAGGATATCAGGAAATTTTTGGATGGTATCTATGTCTCTGAAAAAGGAACTGTTCAGCAGGCTGATGAATAAGATCTAAGAGGTAAGTTCTTGTAGTATCTTAAGTTTTATTACTGCTTTAGTTGAATGAAGCTCTAAATTTACTAAAAGACTTAAACTGGAGTTGTAGTCATACAAAATGGAGAGTTAAGCATTCTGGAACACAGTAAATTTGACCGAATAAAAGATGGAATTGGCATGCATTTCACTATGTATAGTTTACCATGAATCAATAAGTCATAGTCCTGAGGTATGTTTTAGATCATTTAGAATATAGTACAAAACAAAAGATTAGTACTTTTCTGGGCAAGTGTATTGATGGGAATGACCGATTTTTTTTTTTTTTTTTTTCTACCCAGTTATCCAGCTACAGAAAGAAGATGCCAGATGACTCCTAAGACCTACTTGTGATATTTAAATGATGCAATAAAAGACCTGTTGATTTGGAGCTTCTTAAACCTGTTATCCTTGTTAGCTAGTTTTTCTCCCTTGTGGAACAAGGAGCTTTAATCTGGTTCTTGAAGGAATAGCAAGGATATATTTTAGGCAAGAGGAATATTGTACCAGTGACAGGCAAACATGAGGCCGTTGGTCATTGCATATAGAACTTTAGGAATACCCTGAAGGTGTCTAAATTTCCTGAGGCATGAATTTGAGTATTTGGTAAGGCAGATGTTGTCTTAGTCATCTTTGGAAAAACAGCTGAGGAGTAGAACAAAGTGATACAGCATCAGTTAGAAGGTGCATTTGGTTTGGTTCATGGTCTCAATAATCTTGTCCTTTACCCTCCCTCAGCCATTTACTTCCATATCCTAGAACTTGTTTTTGAAAATTGATAACCCTTCCATAATCTTTTAATTTCACGTGTCATACTTTAAATATGGTACGAGGCCACCATAACTAGACCTAGGTCAACATGGTGACCCCCAAACCTTCCTGAATTCTACATCTCATTTGATGGAAACTGCAATTTCTAAGGCAAGATGTAACATTCATTCTTGATCAAATGCATCAGGAAAATGTGCTGAGTACCTTCATTGTAAGGTATGGTCAGATAGTTCCATCAGAAAGATTAAATGACAGAAGTAGCAACCAGTTGGCATATATGTTATCTTGGATCTTACAATGGCTTGCTCAGTTGCCCAGGCTGGAATACAGTGCCATGGTCATAGCTCTGTAACTTCAAACTCCTGGACTCAAGCAATGCTCCTAGCTGCCTCAGCCTCCTTAGTAGCTAGGACTATAGGCAGGCACCGTCACGTCTGACTTTTTTAACTTTTTTAAAGTATGTATGGGGTCTCATGTTGCCCAGGCTGGTCTTGAACTCCTGGCCTTAAGTGTTTCTCTTTTGCCTCCCAAAGAGCTGGAACTACAGGCATGGGTCACCATGCCCTATATATTTTAGATCTTGATTCAAGTGCACTAGTTGAACATACATTAAGGAATCTTGCTGACTATGTGGTTAGGTTTTTAAGAAATTTGGAGGTAATGATGAATCTAGGATTTGCTCAGAAGCTTCCAGGATGGGGTTGTAGGCAATGAATGGGATCAACATGAAGTAAGATCACATCCCCAAAAGGTTGGGAAATATGGGTCCATTAGAGGAATTTCTTACAATGCAGAAAATGAAAAACCTGCATATTTCACCTGGGTTACTGTGACAGTCTCAACTGGTTATCTTCCCTGTATTTCAGCATCAGCCAGGGTACTGACTTTGAAATGGATTATAGCACTGCTTCAAATCCTGCAACAGGTTCTTTTCAATTTTTTCTTTTTAAAATAGTTTCCCCATTCTACCTGCAGCTGTTTTTAACTCAGTTTTTCTGACTTCTGCACTAGAGCTGAACTGACCTGGCTATTCCTCGATACCAAGTCCTCTGTCATTAAGCATTTAAGTTGTCTTTTCCCTTTGGAATGCTCTCAGCTGAGCTGTGTCTAACTCGCTTACCTTCAGGTCTATTCAGTGAATCCTGCCTTGACCACTCTATTAAAAATAGTGGACCTGCTCCTTAAACTTGTCCTACTGTCTCTTTACCCTTCTCCACTTGTTTTTGTCCATAGCATTTGTAGTTCTGATATTTACAATGTGTGTATTCGTTATATGCTTTTTTTCTGCTGGAATGTAACTTTAACAAGGATGTAATTTTGTACTCTGGTGTATTCCAACTACCTAGAACGATGGCATGTAGCTGTTTACTGAGTCAGTGGTTCCTGGACTGCCAGGGAACTCAGTAATGGCAGTGGGACTGGAAGATGTTTTGGAAGGTATTGACAGGATTTCAAAACAGTAAGAGGCTTGTGGGAGAAGTTTCCAAGTGGCAGTATTACAGTTGGGTGGAGATGTTCATGAGAGGATCAGCTTATGGGTAGTAGCTGCTGTGGGAGTAGATGGGATTTATTTGAGCATGAAATGGACTGGCATGCTGGGTCTGACCTTGATAGGATAACTTACAGGCTGGTTGTAGCTAAACTGGTTTTTTTTTTTTTTTAATTTGGGTATAATAAATGAGCCGTTGTTCCCCAGGGAAAACGTTTCTTCTTCTGTGTCTATGGATAAGCACTTGTGCACTATTTTTGCAGTTTTTAGATGTAGGTGTCCACATATTTTTGAGATGGGGTCTCTCACCCAGGTTGGAGTGCAGTGGTGCAATCTTGGCTCATTGCAACCTCTGCCTCCCAGGCTCAAGCCATCCACTTCAGCCTTGTATAGCTGGGACCACAAATACGTGCTAATCTAGCTAATTTTTTGTAGAGAGGGTTTTGCCATGTTGCCCAAGCTGGTCTCAAACTCCTGGAGTCAAGCAGTCTGCCCGCCTCAGCCTCCCAGTCATGGAGTTACAGGTGTGAGCCACCACACACCGGCCACATTTTTTGAGAAAATATACCCAGAAGTAACATACTAAGTTGGCACACAAACTAGGCAGAAGGGTTCATGGGAGGCAGTCTTGGGCAGAGCCCATTTACATTCAGCAGTTCTTAAAATTGACCAGGTTGTTAGTTGAATTCAAGTAGTCAGCATGAACCAGTTTATTTGGAATAAATACATTGAAAATTAAACATGTCACAATGTACTGGCCTCATTTTCCAGAGGCTCTGTAAATACCATAGTTGTGATGTTTCCAGATTGTTATATTGAATATACAATAAACACAAGTTAAATTTTTCACAATACATCTCAGAAAAGCTTAAACTCGAAAGATCTTACCTGTTTGCTCCTTTCAAGAGCTATCAGTTTCTGGTTGACCTTTGATGGTTTTTAATGAGTTTATGATAAACCTGAATATTTAGTATGGTAAGGGCATGAGCCAGATTAAATGCTTAACATAATTTGCTGTACATATTTGCCATTGGTTAAAAAATGTAAGGGTTTTTGGATTCTTGTGCGATGACGGCTTAAAAAGTAGTAAAATCCCCAAGTGGCAGAGGACTGTCAGTACTGGGTTAGGAATTTTATTGTTTATGGGAGTTTGGTAAACCAGCAAGTTAGAAAAGGGGGACATGCTTGAAGCATAAGCTCTTAATGTGAAAAAGACATAGTGAAGGTTAATAGGTACGTGCTGTGAGTACGAGATACTTTAAACAAAGGCCAGTGAGAAAGAGACAAGAAAGCAAAACCTGAAAGATAAATTCCAGGTTTTTTTTATTCCTGTGGCCAACCATTTTTTTTCAAGGCCTTGAAGAGGTCTTGAGAGGTTCATGAGTTGCTCAGTTGACACTAAAGAATTTTCCCTGGAGTTCTTGGGTCAGGGTGAACCCATGTGACACAACGGGGAAAAAACCCAGCCAAGTGATTATTTTAAATGACTTCCTGTTTATACATAGAGTAATAAAAACAGTTGACTAGTTGTATGCATAACCTTAGGCACATAGGTCTCAGATGGAAATATTAATACTAAAAAATTCCTTGAAAGTCATAACCTCAAAACTGCCAAGTATGGGGTAGTGGGTGCAGCTGGGGCAAGGAGACTAGAGGAGAGTAAAACAATTTTACTGTGTCTTTTGCCAGGCCAAATAGCAAATTGATTTTCCATCATGTTTGCATTTACTCGAATTCACTAATTGTATTTTCTTTTTACAGTATTTTGGAAACTTGTTCATTAGCAATTAGAATTTCAGTTGGGAACTGAATTTAACTTCAGACATAGGTGGACCTAGAATATAATCAGACCTACCTTAATTTACTAAGGCTTTATAACAGAAGAACATTTCCTGTGACTGTTAAGGTCTCAATTGCTGGAGTGAGCAGACAAAGACAAGTTACTGTGTGCAATGGGTGTTAAATGTAGGTTTTCTTCCTCGAATGTTTAAAATAAACTGAACAAGGCTCAAGGACAGAGTTCATTTCCCAAAATGTCAGATTATCCAAGTCAGATCTCGTAAATAACCCTAGCCCAAAAAGGTGCTATATAAAACAATTTAAACTCATTCAGACCATCAGCATTCTGAATTGTTGCTTTACTTAAGAGTATAGCAACTTCTAGTCACAGAGTTGAATCTAGCTTTCCTTCATCCTGTGATCTTTCCATGAGATGAGGTTTTGGAAATTACTTTTTTTTATTATTATTATTTTTTATTTTGAGAGACAAAGTCTCGCTCTGTCCCCCAGGCTGGAGTGCAATGGCACAATCTTGGCTCACTGCAACCTCTGCCTCCCAGGTTCAAGCGTTTTTCCTGCCTCAGCCTCCCGAGTAGCTGGGATTACAGGTGCCCGCCATCATGCCCGACTGACTTTTGTATTTTTAGTAGAGATGGGGTTTTGCCATGTTGGCCAGGCTGGTCTCGAACTCCTGACCTCAGGTGATCCAGCCGCCTTGGCCTCCCAAAGTGCTGGGATTATAGGTGTGTGCCACCATGCCTGGCCGGAAATTACATTATTTTAAAAAATCAGATCTAGTAAAAGATCACAAATTAGATATTCTGTAGGTGATTTTTTTGTTGTTGTTAGAAAAATGAAGGGCTTGATCCCCTTAAGATCAGTACTTAAGCCAGTGTTGTAACTGGCTTAGACAAGCACTACTTACCCTATTACTGTGTTTTCTTTCCATTTAGAACCACCCTGACCTAAAGGGGAAAGCACCTTATTAGAAGTGACAGAATATATATTATGTATCACTGACTATCCAGTTACAAAGTTTTGCTTTTGCTTTTTTTGGTGGTGGTTTGAGATGGTCTTGCTGTTGTCGCCCAGGCTGGAGTGCAGTGGCACAATTTTGGCTCACTGCAACCTCTGTTTCTTGGGTTCAAACAATTCTGCCTCAGCCTCCCAAGTAGCTGAGATTATAGACACCACTGCCACCACGCCTGGCTAATTTTTGTGTTTTTAGTAGAGACAGGGTTTCACCATGTTGGCCAGGTTGGCCTTGAACTCCTCACCTCAGGTGATGTCCCCGCCTCAGCCTCCCAAAGTGCTAGGATTACAGGTGTGAGCCACCGTGCCCGGCCCAAAGTTTTACTTTTT